TAAAACAATAAAGGAGATTATTTCGAAATTATTCATTCCTCTAATTCTGTAACTCACAGAATATATAGGAATAAATAATTTCGAAATAATCTAGGTTTATCCTCTTTATTGCTTTTATGATAAAGTTAAGTTATGAATTATTAATAAAGTTACAAAACTATGGGAATGAATAATATTGAAATAATTATATTGGAATAATTTAGATTTATCTTTCTCTTATTGCTTTTACAATAATCAAAATTTAATTATTAAACAAAGAAGTCGATATCTCGTTGAACGAAACGTTTGTGAGAAAACTTTTAGAAGAAAATTTGTTTTTAGTTTTTCCTATAAATTTATATTTTACACTCTAAATTTGTAATGAAAATTTTACTGCTAACAAAAGTGAGTAGCAAAGTTGTTTTAAGTATGGATTTTCATTTCGAAGTTAATCTATCTACTCTTACATAAAGGAGTGCTATTTCAATTAGTCGAAGTGGTTTAAGCATTAGTTGATAATGTATTGCAAGATGCATTGAATGTTATTGCAAGGAGAATTTAGCAACATAGCGCATTGTCGTTTATCATATATTTATCGTCAAAATTATATATGTATATACCATTATATCATTAAACCATTATTTTACCATTAGATAGATTAAATTTATAACATATTAATAATTTTTTCAAAAATTATAATTAAAAATAAGATTAATAAATTGATAGTTCTCTGTTCAAAATTCGTCTCCGTAAGCTTTATTATCTGGATTTGAAATAAAATTATTTTGTTATTATTCTAATTTCCAAATTCACTCCTTTTTGGAGAAAATTTTTCACTCCAATGGATTTTTCATTCCCATCTTGCAGTAAAATTCATTGGCGCAATTGTCACTAATGCCTGTATTGAATTTCAATTTAATGCAGTGAAATTTCATTGCTACAGATTTAGAGTGTAAGTTTAGGAACACCTTATATATTTGACACATGTTTACAGATTTGTTTTTATGTTTATAAAATAGAACACAGCGAAACTTTTTGCTGTTGAAATTGCTGTAGCGAACTTTTTTCAAGAAATTAAGCGTTTTCGCGTATTATATACTGGCGGTTTGTTGTAACATTCTTCGGAGGCAGTTGAAAGCTCGACCTGCTTTCTCGCGCGGCAATCTCGCGTCTCACAAAGGAAACTTTTGTATTCACGAGTATGATAATGTCCCTCCATAAGCCTTCTTCGCACCTGTGCGAGTGTTGCGTCACGAGCTTGTAAACGAGTGAATGTACGTGAGTACCTGAGGGATACACGAAGCTTCGAAAATACTACGTCGGCAAGCTGGTTTCAAGATCGTGCAAAGATCCAGGAATAATTTTACATATTTCAGCGCGGCTTGCTGCGACGACGATGAACAACAAAGAAGCTTACCTGTTGTCTATGTCGAGGCGAGCGGTGTATGCGCTTTTATTCGAACGTTACTCCGATAAGATTTATACGATCACGTGTTTGGCTTGATATCTATTATCTGTCCGCCTTGCATCTTGACAATGTGGTAAGCGGAATCTACAATGTGTTCGCACTTAGGTCATATATGTTCTTGTCAAGCTTGTCAGTCTGACAAATCGATTATATACACTTCATTTGAGATGTAGCTACACAACGAACACAATTTTAGATTTTATATTAACGTTTTTGCTTTTAATTTTTTGGCAAATATTTTGAAACTATTGACGTCAATAAAAGTCTAAATTTTACAACGTGTAAAGAAAGAGAAATATTGATAAACAAATCTACATGGAAAAAAAGTAAATTGAGTAATACAGCAAATACCTGTAACTTATTACGCGAATTCAATATAACTAAAAAGATTTGATGGTTTAACATTAAATGCTAATGTTATTCAGCTGTCAACTTTGCTACTTTAACATAGAAAATTGACTCTTTGTATATTACAGTTGTAGATTTGTTGAATCAAAATTGAAATTTTCAGCTGTTTTTTTTTCGTGTATAAGTTTTATATATAAGTTTATATATAAGTTTTATAGATTCAAGAGCTATTAGATTGACGACCAGTAATCCAAAAATACTGACATTCCACTATTTTCACTGTAAAAAGTGTAGTATTTAAAGTGTTTACATTTAAAATATTTTTGCAAAACAAACGTTCAATAATAAAAGATATTTTAAACGAGTGTTTAATGTTTTAAATCCATTCTAGTGTTTTGTTTATTGAAAAAATTTTAAACTAAAACATTTTTGTTTAAAAACTGAAGACAGAAGAGAACATTTTAATATCTTGAAATTAAACACACATGACATTACACTTCTTTTACAAATGTTTATAAAGAGAAAAAGTTCATAAAGAAGAAAATTAATAGAAAATTCTGCGAATCGATAAGATTGGAAAGCCTAGGATATAAGCTGCTTGATGTCGCAGCGCCTACAAACTTGGCGCCACATTTCAAAGCCGAGGATGAAGTCTTGCCAGTAGAGAGCTCCGTTGTCGGGGGCGCGAAGTCGGGGATGCAATCGATTGCGATATATCGCAAGCATCCTCGGTGCCGGGAGGGTGGCGGCGCTTGCGCCCCGGCAAACTCGTGCGGATTGGCCGGCGATGATGTCATACGGTGCTCCCCTAGGTCTCTGATATCATCTGCGGGCTTTTCTGCAGTCCACACCGACCACTCGAGCGGCGTAGCCGTGCCATCGGAGATATTGCCACCTGTGCTTAACATTCACGCAGTGCTATCCGATCTGCGCCGGCCACGAGCCCTGAGTCTGAAGCTCCGTGGCTGCATCCAGCCGGCAGAGAGGTGAGTCCATTTCAGCTACCTTCCGAGATCGTGCTGCTCTTCTCTGTACATTCCCAGACCGAGCTAACGATGCGACGTTTCGTCACCGCACGTACACACCACGACCTATCGGTGTAAACATACGTTCATCTTCCATATCTCTGGTCGTATTTCGTTTGATTGACTCAAATTCAATTTTGATCTTCGAGCAGAATTCGAATTGTGAATCAACTGTGAGATGCTGGTAATTTTGATCATATCTCGATAAATGATTTTAAAAAAATTTTTTCCGGGGCGGAAAAGGTTTTACACATTGCTTTCAGAAAATTATGAATTTTTTTAGAGCTACAACGCTATCTATCGCTAGCTTCTGCGGTGAAAGCAGCATTCGCGAACACGTGGATGTAGTGGTGCAGTTCTGTTAGAAGAGCGTTTATTTTTGCCGAGGAATTTGCTTGGAAATAATTTTGATGAGTATTCTCTCTTCTCTCTCTCTTTCTGCAACATTGATGAAATTATTAATTTGCTTCGTTAGCAAGCTGCATAGTTCGATAATCTTTAAATAGTATTAGACTGACGTCGAGACATTTCATATTCTTTTTCTTATGTAAATTGATTATAACTTTTTCTTAAACACGACAGAAACATTATATATAAATATGTATTTATATATAAAATAATCAATATCTTTCGTTTATTAAATTTCATGAAAATCGCCGATTTGCATTGTCACAAAATTTACCTTGTTCGCTCCAGTTCGCATTGTTAAAAATGTGAGCTGATCCTAGATTGAACAATCTTTATTCTCGAAAATGTTGTTAACCACTGGTAAAACAGTGTACGCTGATGAATGTTGAACAAACTCGGATCTCGAGGGGATAATTGCGTTGGCGTGTTACTACAATGCATCCCAGAGCGCTAGCTGCGTTCCACTGAAACGTCAATGAGAGTTTGTACGAATATATAGAACAACGATCTACAGAGTTCAACTTCCTCAGTTTTGTGTTCACACGAGCAACTTTGAAGCCTGTTTGCGAGATGTTGCACACTGGCAGGAAACTGCGGTGAGACACCGCATTTATGATTCTCTGTAAATATAGAATGTGTGCACACATCTATGATATGTCGAATTGCCAGTTTTGTGCAAACATTATTCTGAAAAGATTTTCTTTCTTTTTTTTCTGCTCTCTCTCTCTCATATATCGTTTCACAAAATTATTTACATACTGTGATATAAAGAGAATCCATTTCAATGAACATGACAAAATTAATCGCATATTGTGTAAATAATATATATTTATCAAGTAAAGACAAATACGTTTTTTTTTTAAATACGTTTTAAAAGAGAGAAAGAAAATGATTTAAACAAAGAAAATATTAGAAGAAAATATTTTAATTTTAGGCACAAATAGTGACAATTGATTGTTACAAATAATGTTTATGTTTTTTATAATAATAATTAAAATATCATTTTTATATTATTAAATAAAGAAAAGTATGTTTTTAAAGTTAAAATGAAGTAATATTATATTTGCACGCATTTTATAATTACTTTATAATAATATCTTTTTTAAATATAGATTTTTTTTATTTGTTAATATAAATTGTCATTACGCTTGAAATATTATAAATATTGTGTCCAGAGAAAAACGTAAAAAGTAAAAAAAAATTTCACTGCCTTACTGTAAAAAAAAGTATTTAATTTTAAAATATTAAAATGTTTTATTCTTGTCTCTACCTCTGAAGATATTTTAATTTTAACCTTTTTCAAAACACTATGTGTTTGGATTTAAAACACTGCATTTTTTACTTTAAATGTTTAAAAAGAAGAGACAAGAATAAAACGTTTTATTGTCTCAAATTTAAATATTTCTTTTTTGAGTGTATACAGACATATATGAATTCTATTGGCATATATGTGTGTGTGTGTGTGTGTGTGTGTGTGTGTGTGCGTGTATGTGTGTGTGGGTGTGTGGGGTCTTATTTGAGCGTATCGATTGTATCGTGCAAAACTTTCTGCATTCAGATTAGAGTTGCTTAGCACTCAACGTTCCATTTGGCAAACAATGAAACTTTGAGCTCTTGTATCAAGTAATAGTATAGATTCGTGCTTGCAAACCGCAGTTCAACCGATCCGAAACTGAAACGTATCAAATTGGAATCAAAGTTTTATTTCTTATTTATTTCTAATTTCATGTTTGCAACATATTATATATATAAGATATATATGTATCATTAATTTATATATCTATATGCAATGCACACCCATCTAAATCTGTAATAGCAAATTGCGCAATTCCTAATCTTAACATTTGTGCAGAAAACGCAATATTGAATGAATTATTGAATCGCATTAGCATTTCTTTTTAATTCGCTCTGGATTTCTCACAAAAATTTAATATTAGCCGATTTAATTCTAGCCATTTAATACTGACAAATAGTAATTAATTATTTATGATTAATTTAAGTATTAAAAGCATTGCTGTTTTTTTTATTATTACTGCTTTTATTATTCCAAATATGTAATTAATTACTTTTTTCAATAATAAATATACTTGTCAGTATTAAATTAATTGGCCAATGTTAAATTTCTGTAAAGGATGAGATAGATATACAGACAAAGGCGTTCATTGATATTCCAAGTCCTCTAAGAAATAATAATTGACAACAAAATGGAAAGAGAATTAAAAAGATGGCAACACAGAATAAAATATGTACAACCAAACAAAACAAATTAATAATAATAACGAAAATTAATAATAATAATAATAATAATGAAAAAAAACAATGCTAAGAAGGAATGAAATAAAGTCAAAATAAACGTAAGAAAAACAAGAGAAGATAATGATAATAAAGATCTAGAAGGAAAGAAAATTACAGAGAAAGAGAGAGAGAGAGAGAGAGAGAGAGAGAGAGAGAGAGAGAGAGAGAGATCGGTGTAAATCAAATTACCTCACTTTTTTTAAACTAATAATGATAATTTCATATATAGGAATGCATATCCTATATCCCTATTATGTTTACAATTGAAACGTTATTGTCTTCACATGAATAGTTGGTAATTAGGTAATTCGGTCATGTAGTTACAGAAATGCACGCTTTGTTTCAGCGAAGCCGCGAAAGTTTGAAAGAGTAAAATAATGTTACATATTTCAATGCAATGACATGAAATGGTATTATCATCTTCTCTTTGTGTTGGGTAATCTATTGATGTGTTTTCGAGTGAAGTTAGCTCTAAGCATAATTTCTTTTCCAAAAAACTTACATGACACAACTGTTGTTGCGAAAGCGAAATGACATAAATTCTGCAAATTTTTATTATTATTATTTTAACTTTCTATGTTTTTAAACTTGCTCTTACGCAAATTATAAAATATTATATTATTTTTACATATCCAGTACAAGAATTTTAATCGCCTACGATCTATTAAACTGTAAAAGGAATTTTAAGATATTGTTGGAAAATGTGCTTTTCTCATAGCATCTCAAATATTACCATATAGCGTGCAATTACGTGTATCGCAAATTCCAATATTGAAGTTCCATTTATAATATGGCGAATCTTAAATACGATCACTATTGATTTGAACGTCATAAAATATTGGAAAATGGGATACCATGACATGATTGATGAGTTATCTTTTTCACCGATTTTGTATTTACAATTGATTAATTTTATTTATATGATTAACTTTATACAATTGATTAACTTTATGATTAACTTCATTTTATTGAATTTTATTTATTCTTTCACAACTGAGCAAAGAAAATTGCAAGATCTATAATTTAATTAAAAATAATTAATTTTAACAAATTAAACTTTAGAAAAAAAGACGACAACATTTATGTAGTTGCCTGAAAAACAAAACTTTTAAATACTTTGATTTTTAAAATTTATTCTATTTTTCATAGATTATTTATTAATTTTCAATTGATTTTTCATTATAAAAAATTGCAAGTATTTATAATTCAGTTGGAAATAATTAGCTTCTGACAAATTAAATTCTTTCGAAGAGAAGAGAGACATAATTTATATTTTAATGCTTAATATAATTAATATTTAAAAATATCTTGATTTTTTAAGTTTTAGTTGCTAAGGATAAGTCATAATTCGTATTTTTCGCATTTTCGCCAAACAAAAATTCGTTCGTGCATTGAATAAAAAAAAGTTGTGGCTAAAAAGACATCCGATGGTCTTGGAATACACTGTGCATGTCAGATCCTTTATACATCGACGGTGAAGGTTCGCACCATGGGAATTGCGCGATCCTTGACTAGCCTAGTACCGGGACATATTTATAGTGCATGGGGTTTGCGTTCAGGAAAGGCGACGGAATGGCGAAAAAGAATATTTGTACGACACACATATATACACGGATATACGTGAACATAACGCGAATAACGTTACAGTCAACTTTTACCCTTGGTACGCGAAAGCGCCCTTGTTGCATTTCGGGAATGCCATTCTCCTCCTCCTTCTTTTCATGGCGATTCGTTTTAACTTGTGCTTTCCTTTTGTTGGTGCCTCTCTGCGGCATACGTTTTTGCGGCTTGCTGCCAGCCTCCCTAAATTCGTTCACGAACTTTTGAGCGCTCGAGCGTTAAAAAATTCGTAGTGCCTCTTGAAAATTGCGCTTTTTTCCTTTTTTTTCACGTTGTTATCTGAAATCGGGAAGACGGACTGAAAGGGTTCGTATTCACCCTCCCTCCCCCCTATGCTTCATGAGTTTCGATGGGATATAGAACTTGCAATTCTATTCGGCGATGCAGATACAACGCTGAATGCTGTAAAATGTAATTTTTGCGAAATCGATGGACAGATAGTCCCTTCGAGACTTTTAGATATATATATATATGTTTACACGTGCGCAACAAGATATATCAAAAGAGAGACAGTTTCTGTTATTTATCATTTCGTAAATTATACATATTATACTCTTCACATATCATCATATCCCTATTTCACGTTTATCCTTCAAATGTGGATTTAGAAGATAAGAATAAGTATCAAGAAATAATTG